CATATTCAAAAGCTCGGACAACCAGACTTACAAAAATGCATTTAGTGACATAACGAACATAGAATTCATTTTATGATCCCTTAAGAAATTCAAACAAAAATGTTGAATTTCTAACAGTTAACTTATAGCGATATTGAAGTTATAATGGGTTAATGTTCAACGCGTGACCCAAGGCTTACGTAGCCTAACCCACCCTAGATGCGCTTGAGCTAATTAAGTGTAGTTCAGAAAATGGAAATGCACAAGAAGGCATAACAGTAGTATCAATTAAAATTTGTATCGATATCCCTATTATTATTAACTTATCTTAGGATAATACAAAAACAATTTTTTACTTTGTTAGGAAATATATTTTTTCATATTTTTATTGCTTGAAGAATCTATTAAATAACCAAAAAATGAATGAATAAATAAACAATTCAATTCAGTATATGTTTCTACTTTTTTTCATATATATAATTTATTCAATTTATTTCATTTCCTATTATCAATCTCTAATTAAGAATAAAACATTTCCAGTGATCCCATTTTTAATTTGGTTATACCCACACCATCTAGGTGGGTAATATTCAGCACAACGTAAGAAAAATAAAATATTTCTCACAATTCCATATACATAAGTAAGAACTTAATTCATGGTCACACATTACGTTCTTCAAGAATATATAGTTTAGTTTTACATTCAATATTTGTTTGTTTGTTTTTATGTGGTAAGAATTCTTGATATTTGTTTGTAATTATTATTAAATTATTTTATTTTTGAGTATTAGTACCATTTAAGGATAATTGTTTAATTAATTAATTTATATATAAAGAAGAGAGTAACTAAAAATATATAAATCTAAATTAAAATTGATTTCACAACATTATTTTGGGGCGTTTTTGTTGGTTTGTTTTTGTTTTCAGAAAAATACACAATACGCTGTAACGCATTTCAGTTCTATAAATGTTTTAACAATAGAAATTTGTTAAAAATATACGATACTCTTTCATTAACTATTTTTAAATATATAAGCAATATTTCATTTAAAAAGCTAAAATTCTTTTTGTTAAGCAGCATTGCTATGATATTAGAAAAACATATCATTTTTTTTTATTTTTTTCCAACAAAAAAATACAAATTCAAAATTTGAAATCATTCATTAACTAAATCGAGAATAGTTCTCTGTTAGGCATTCGTTCTATATAAACGAATGTATGTAAGTAATCTAGATTTATATATATAAATAAAATACATATTCAATATTCATATAAAAATATACAGAGATGAAGTTAAAATTATACAAAAAACGACTTCCTATCGAATATAATGTAATATTATTTTTGTTAGTAACAGTAGATTTAGGACAAATGTGCTTTCCTCCATTTAACAATATATTTGTTTTTGTATATATGCTACGCTATAAGTAGTTGTTTGCATAAAATTGAATCATACAAATCCACATCTTCATCTAAACGTTGTTTTCTTTTTTCTTTCTTCTCATTTCCATTCATTGTTTTAGGTAAGCTATATCACGTTGTATGTTTGTTTCTTATCCTTCTTATTTTCTATACAAATAAAAAATAAAGTTTTACTCTTAGCATTTTCATTTCCAATATAAAGCATTATATATATTAAAATATTGCAGGAATTTTTGTTTTGTTCTGTTGTATTTGCTGATGTCTGCGCATGAGTCCTGGATATCCATCGCTTAGACACAATCATCTTCATCAAAATCTCCAGATTCTTCAATCGACCATTGCTGTTCTAAGGATCGTTCGCTAAAAGTTGTTGTAAAGGAAAGGAAGAAGAAGAACAAAATAAATTTTATATACATTAGTTATGATTGGATCATGCTAGATATGGTGCAGCATATAAGCAGCTCTATGTTTTTATTTTTAATTTCATCAATTCATTCTCAATATGTTAAAAAGAATATAAACAAGGCACATATACAAATTGTTGGGTTATGTATCAAATATACTGTGAGTGAATTGTGGTAGTAGTGGTGGTGCACTAATGTCAAAGGTTAATGTTTTTGTATGATTTTCTTAAAAATATGTGTATGTGTAATGATCATTTCCCATATTAATGTGCATTTATGTATATGTAATGATGTCATGATGTTAGTAGTGTTCTATATAAGCCTTTCCCAGGTTTTTGTTTAGCCGTGTTAAATATGTATAAGCAGTGTTACAAATTTGGTAGTGTTTGCCAAAGTTTAGCACAAAATCGTTTGTTACTAGTTATTAATATGTAGCTGTTGCTTTATGTGTGAGATGTTGTAAAACGAACTCTTGTTTTTAAATATATATATATAACGCGTCAAATCTACTTTAGAAGAGTTGTTAAATGTGTTATTTTGAATTGAAGCCTAAAAGTATGCTTTAATTTCTGCACAAAATTGTTTATTAAACAACGAATATCAATTCATTTTCTAATTGGAAATTTTTCTACAATTGTACACGACGGCAACCGTGATATCAATATTTTCACATCTATTTTTTTATCTAAATGTGGAAATGGTATCAAGACGAATGTTCTATTGTCAGAATTAACCCACAGTTCAAAAATTAATGAAAATAGTACTAACTAAACTCTTTCGTACATCTGACACAATGGCGAATTCTGTAACAATTCTGTAAGTCTACTCAGATAAAAAAAATTACCGATAACAATGTTCAATTTCCAATTATTTTTTTGAAGCCAACATGATGTACAAAAGGGACGTAGAATATCGGGAAAAGAGTGCCCTTATGTCTATACATAACAAATTGGCTGTGTGATGTTGGCTTATGACCATAATGTGCTAGTAGTGGCACATATACATCAACAATATCCGTGGCACATCTACATCAACAATATCCGATATTATTCAAGGTGCTTTGGTAATGCTGTCCAAATGGTCAACCCCACTAAGACCGAATTGATTTTTTTTTCACTCAAAAGCGTGCTTTCACGGCGTAAATTTGCATCATTTTTATCACTAAGAAAGGAAGAGCTCAAACTGCAGAATTGGGTCTCTCACATCTCCAAGTCGTATACCAATGGAGTGGAATATTGTCGTTTATGTGAAGAAGATGGATGAGTTAGAAACGATCGTAGCAAGTTACATTGACTGTTATAAAGGTATGAAATTGGTTTTCTAACCCTTTTTTCTGGAATAGATCCCAACATATTCTACTCGACGTATTCCCTTCACATCTCTTTTTGGAGATGACCAAATTAAGGCAGAGACTTTAAAGCCTGATAAACCAAAACACTTCTGGGGCTGATCTAAAAGCGATTCTAAATGTCAATCAGGTTCCAATCGGCTAGGGACCAGTGAAGTTAGATCATAAGATACGTATGCATGTTGTATATACTGAGAAAGGACATCGCGATAATGACAATATAACCTTCGATAACAATCATATAATCATTCCAAACAAAGATACCTGAATTGCTGACAAAATTTAAACCCGCGACTTTATATGCCTAATTGTAGAAATAAAGAGAGATGAAAAGCTTACAGAAAGATATAAAAAAGGTAAGAATGAAATAAAGTCGATTGCTATAGAAATCAGATAGAAGATATATTACGTGTCAAGGTTGCAGATGGTTATTATATACGACATTTCGATGGGAATTGTTAGGTTCCAGTACATCGAAATATAAAAACAATAAACTGGCGATCTTGATCCAAATGGGATAATAAGTTCAAGTTGACTTCTGCCGTCTATAATTCTTCGAGTAAGAGATTGAATGTGTTTTACCGCAAATCCAAATTCATACAGAATGAACACAATGGACCAAAGATCTCTTTTAATTTCTATACCCTCAAATGATTTACAGTACTTTCAATACATATGAAATTGCATGTTGGCATTTTCATGGATATATTTTTTAAGATATAAAGAGTCAAACTCTTCTCAGGTTGGCTATATTGAGGTCAGCATATACCTCAATTTAGGCTCAAGGTTATGTTGTTACTGATTATAAAAAATGTAAAGGATATAATTTAAATCCTCAATTCTATCCGATAACTATTCTATATTACTCATTAATATATCAATAAAATAAACACAAATTTAACAACTCTTTGTTAACAATTTATATTGAAAATTAAGAGTATTCTCTAAAATTGTAACTAAATAAGGCGAATATATACAAATGTATGATATATCGCAACTTTCAACATCTACTAATTATTTTTTGATATTATTAATTGATGAAATATTATTTAGTTTAAGTTTCTATTTTTATTAGAATGATATTTAGATTTAGATGAGCAATTAATAAAAGCGGCGACAACAAGACGTTTTTATTATCATTTATACAACAACAACAAAATGGAATGAAATTTTAAGATCGAACTGTTGAAGTTTTTTTTTCAAACTGCCATTAACATTCAAATTGAAATCAAACAAAATCACAAAACAAAAACAAAACATAGAAAAAAAAATAAATAAATAAAATGCATTAATAGTTACTTTTATATTCGATACGTTGTCATAGTAGGATGCGGAAACTTGGCAGAGGCATTTAGACATATTGTCTGCCGCCAAGTTGAAATGTCTGTCGTCATACGTAATCGTCGTTGTAGTAGTTGTCGTTTATATCAAATCATATATATTTCATTTTATATACATTTCATAATTGCACTTTGTCTCTTTAGAACGTGTGTACGTTAGTTATGTATGCATATATGTAAATATGATTTGTATTTTTCATATTATATTTCAATTATAGCGGTTAATTAGTAAAACACTAAACCGTATACCATGATTATTGTTTAGTTCAAAAGTATATTTTTTATTAACTTCAATGTTGTATGATATTTAGTGTTACAATCACCGTTTCAATAAGCAGAGTTCGTTTTGTTTTTTTATATTTAAATTCATCATTTCAACTGTATATAAATATGTGGGAATATGTATGTTTTCGTATTTCGTTGTTAGTATAAAGTCTATATGTTTTTTTTTCTTTTTTTGGTAAAATCGTGATCGTAGTCGTTAACAAAATAATATCGACGACTAAAACAACTCTTTGTTTTTTAGTTATTTTACTCAAAGATAGTGCTTAATTTCGTTATAGATCTTAGGTGATCTTTTTAGAGATCTGTCACAAGCAACCCCTCTGGTCATAATTGCCCTCGACGATAAAGAGATCTCGATTGTCTATAAAAATGTAATAACGACAACAACAATACAATAATGATAATATATTTCAAAAGGAACAAAATAATTAGATAATGTGTATTATTTGTTGGTTTGTGTTCGTGGTGACGTTGGTGTTGGTAAAATACAGGTTGGTGTAAATTATTTTTCATTGTTTTTAATACAAAACAAAAATAAATAAAATAGGAAAAAAGAAGAAAAAAGAAATAAATTATATAAATAATATTAATAAAAAAGAGAATCAAAATAAGAAACAGTTTTAAGGTTATATCACATTTTCAATATTTTTGTTTATGAAACAGAAAAGGAGACGAAAACAAAATGAAAATAAATGGGAAAAACAAATCTACTTAATCTGTCTTCGATCTAGCGCACAATAATAATAACATTAATGAAAACTCTATTATTGTTTTTTTTTTTTAATTGAGAGGTGCTAAGTATATTTGTTGGGATTTGAAGGCTTTGGTAATAGTATAGGAATTATAAAGAAAAATATAAATACCAAAAATTGTATAAAACATTTACCACGAAATAAAATTAATAACATGTTTTCTTAATAATCATCGTTTCCCTCGCAGTCTAATTTTAAGAATTGTTAATCTAAATGTGTGATATAATAAAATTTAAGTAAAACAAAATAATTAACATATTATTGTAATGTATAAATAGTTAAAGTATTTTTGTGTTTTATGGTATTTCGAAAACTAATTTATGATGTATCTATTTTTTCGTATATTATATTTTAGGATTTAGAACAACTAATGTAAATATTATAAAAACTAAATGTATGTTTCGAAAAACCCCCATATTATCAATATAGCATAATTTGGAAATAATAAAGTCCGTTTTCTACCTAGTATATATTTACATACGAAGATGTATGTTTAATACGGACCTTTTTTCCAACCGCACTTTAAGGTATACCATATTTTATTGTTGATTTAATAAAACATGACCCAATCTCATTATTTTTAATTAAATAACTATGCCATTTACATTTGTAATTTTTTATGAATTGTAGAAAGAAAATCATGGTCAGAAATCGTTCAAGAAATTTTATATTCAAAAGGTAGCGTTATTACAACACACTATTGGAATAAATGAAATATCAGACAACTCTTTAAATACCACGCCACGTCCTGAAGTGAACACATTTTGATATACTTTGTAGTCTTTGGAGAGATAAACGTCTAAATAGAGAGCTTAAATTGTTCAATCCTCCATATAAGTACGCAAATGGGAGAAAATTGATTCTGATTAGTGCATACATGTATCCTGTCTTATCCGATACCGATACCAAATATTTAAAATCAATTAAGTCTACCCAATAACATCAAGACAGGACCATTGTAAAATAAATAATATACACTATAATCCAAATCAATTTGAATGAGATATGTGAAATCTATAGTAGCCTATTATTAAAACATGCATAAATTATTGCATTGTCCTTGAGACTCTAGAATTGCCTATATATTAAATATTAAACATCATATTAATTTTTAAATATAACCGTATTATAAAAATAAAAAATACCATAAAACCCATTAAAATTGTGTATTAAAGATTATCACAGGACATCACCTTATAGAAAAATGCATCTGCGCGATATCTTAATTAAATAATTAATTAAATTGTTTGCTAGATCGATGTTAAGTATATTGTGTTTTTTTTCTTGTATAAAATTAGACTAGCCTTGCTATCAACAAGAATTAAACCAATTCACATTTTTTATTTGTTTTTCATTTTTTTGTTACAATTAGTTGTTAAACCACAACCATTATTTAGTAGTTTCTTTGGAAAAATAGTAGAATATCTGTAAATGGTTCTAGCTTCAACTTCCTAAATAGACAGAGACTATGAAAACCAATCCACAAACAAATACAAATGTATGAAAAACTAAAAACGAACTTACCTCTCAGTTGGCATACCGACAACACCCATTTGTTGTGCTTGAGCCAGACGTTTGGCTTCCTCTTTCTTACGGCGATCTTCGGCAGCAGCTTTCATTGGATCATATTTGGATCTACGTTTCCACATTGCCATTTCGGCTTCTTTTTGTTTAGATACTGAAAATGCAATGAAGAATTTGACATTAGATTGTCATACCACTCTAATATCCATATCCACTTACCTGAGGCGTCTCTTCTAACTGCCGATGAAGCTCTGGCATTACTACCTCCCAACGAGGTTACACTACTGGTCATTGCTGAACTGGCCGAACGTACGGAACGGTTGCTGGTTCGCGAGGGATCTGCGCGTGAAAGACCCATCGATGAACTGCTGGGACTGCGTTTCATAATTTCATTCGAATTTGTTTGTGGCTTAAGAGTACTTTTGGCATCATTTTTACGTAAGAACTGATTACTTTGGGCGGGTTTGTATTTCGAAATATCTAAATAGCGTGGCGTGGCCCTTTGACTAGATGTGGAACGTGGCGCGTTAGCAGTGGATGATGATACATTGGCAGCAGTTTGTAATAGTTGTTTCTTGGCTGAAGCCAATGAGTTGGGCACCTGTTGTGCTAGGCGACTAAGACTAGTATCTCGTGGCATGGACTGACGTTGTGAGGCCATGCTGGATCGTGTGGTTGCACTCTTAACATTTCTGCGTGGCAATTCGGGAGTATTTGGACATGCCATAACACCACCACCGGCCAATAACATTGACGGCTTTGTGGGCGGTGCTGATTGGGGTTTACCGGCGACTTTCTGTTTGCTACGCTCAATTCGCATCAACAGAGCTTTATTGTATCTAGTATTCGATAGAGGGACACTGTTCTCGGGTTCGGGGTCCTCGTAATACTCTGGTTCCTGTTCAACGTTCTCTTCGCCACCACTTGAATAGTATTCCTCACCCATGTCCTCCTGGTCATCTTCGTCGTTTATGTAATACTGTAAGTTGTCATCATAGTCACTGTAGGCTTGGCCGAAATTATTGCTACTAGCCGACTTCTTGATAGAATTTCCGGGCTGGATGGAGGTCTGTTGTGGTGGTGCTGGACTAAGACCATAACTATGACGAGCCGCTGGAGGAGTGTACAAGTTTTGAAAGTTCGGACGACCGGCAGCTTTTTGAGTGGCTGCCACACGAGCCGAGAATGAACTGGATCTTCTCAATGGTGATTCTTCGTTAGTTGGAGCAGTGGGAGTAGTCGGCGACTGTACTTGTGGTGGAACACCCGCTTGCAATACTCTTCGATGAGGCGAACCGTTTAAGTTGCCATCAAAGGAGTTCTTACGCATTCGCATCTGACGCAGCAGATATTCTCCACTAGTCAACAATTGCAACTGCTGCTCGTTAATACTGCTCGTCATCAAGTTCTGTGTGGCTTGGCGTTGTTGTCGCTGTGAATTGAGACTATGCTGAGGACTGCACTCGACACCGGTACCTTCAGGGGAATACATGATATGTGAACGTGCCGAATGGGCACGAGGTGAAGCTGAATGTGAGGGCGACTTGAGTGAATTCTTGCGCGACAAACTCTGCTGCAAATTGTTTATGGCAGCAGCTGTTTGTTGCAAATAATCATCCTCTTCTGGTGGCATAACATTCTGCAAAGAAGCTCTGGTGCGACTGGCGCTGCGGGCCCGACCCAATGTATGTAGAGGCGATGGAATCTTTGTGGGACTTTTGGGTGGCTTGGTGCAAGAACTTGCCAGCGACGGATCACTGGCGTAATCACAATCACCATTGCCGCCGGATAAACGATAACGATCAGCCAATGTTCGATTCAATTTCGCATTCAATTGTTTACAATTTGCGCTATAAAGACTATCATCGGTAAGGGAATCGTTGCCTGTGTCGGCACAGGTGTACGATCGGGTCATCAACATATCATTGTTGGATTGTCTCGCCCCAGTACTGTGCCTGTCATTTGCCAAACTTCTCGCTCTTGCATTACGAGCCCATTCCTGTATCCAATCATGTTTGGTTTGAGCTGTCTGTAGTACAGCAACCTCGCTTAACTTAGAACTGGGTTGGGGACCTGTTGGAGTCTCTGGTGGCGTCTCTATTAGATTTCTAGTAGCAGCAAACTTTTGTGAAACATCCTTTTGGTTGGTAAAAACATTAAGACGGTATTCAGCCTTTTGATGATCCGTATAACCACTGGCAAATGATGGTGGTGTTCCAGAAGTTTTCAGCTTGGTCTCATTACTCACATATTCAGAACTGTCAATTTGCGATGTCGACAAGCCGCTGTGTCGCGACAGCTTTGGATGGGCGTCAAGGGTTCTTTGCTTGGCCAGCACACCACTAGTGGTTACACTTGTAAAACAACCGGTATCATGTTCACTGTCATCGTCATCATTTGACAATTTTGGTTTTAGAATTTCCTGCTTGGTGTCCGAAATTTGTTTAGTGGCACTCATGTTGCGCAACACTCTCGATTTGATTTTTTCCAAGTAGGCCCCGGCTGATTGATGTGATCCCATTATAAGATCCGATGGCGCAGTACTTGTGCGTGCCTTCGTCGTTTGTTCGGGACCTTCAGAATCATGATAATAGTTAACCTCCAATACATTATTGGATCTTTTCGATTCTATGCTTTGTCGTTGTTTTGGTGTAGGTGTAATGGCATCAAGTTCTTTAGGACGGCATTTAATTGTTGTTGTTGGAAGTATGCTTTGGCCATATTTATCTATATTCATAATATCCTTTTGCTCCTCGGTATAATTATCACCATCCAATGTGTACGTGCCGGCTTCACTGACATCATCGGCATCAGCATTTAAGTGCTTGAAATCGGCCAGTGGCGGTTGTGGACACATATAATCAATTTGCTTCAGAGCCAATTGCATGGCAGTAGATCTTGGTGTAAATTGTGTACGATTAGCTACAAGATTGGCAGCACCTTTGGGAACTTGTATTGGGGCCGGTTTGTTTGCAGTTTTTGTTGTCGTTTTTCGTGGAAGTGCTGTTGGATTGTTGGTTGATGTAACTGTTGCTGTTGCATTTGCCGTTGATGCAGGAGTTTGGAGACTATTTTCATTTGTGCTTGAACGTGGCGACCAGCTGTGGCGCTTTGAGGCATCACGTACACGCGATGTGCTGCGATCACGCACACGCAGTTTAACCTGCAACACAGACACACACATCAGAAATGGATTAGAAAATTATTTCTTTTATTGGAGTTTTGTTTGTTGATGGTCTATATATGATTTTTTTATTAATAATACATTTATAGAAAGTAGTTTATGATTTATGGAAAATTTCAATATCTGACTAATTATGAATTTTAATAAGAGAAAAGAAGAGAATTATTTTTGAATGATTAATAATATTGTTAAGCTACAAATCGTCATGGATTTCAATTAAATGAGAATATGAGATATTATAACTTAGGCCTTTAAGCCAAATGGCTATATTAATATTCGATTTGTAATCCATTTTAATTTTAATCAGATATTTATATGAACCTACTTTCATATATTTATATGAACCTACTTTCAATATTGGTTTTAGTGAAAAAAAATTAATATATTGGGTTATAACAAAATAACTTTCGAGAGGATTGATGGTTAATTTTTATTATGAGTGCCAACCATTTGTTCCTTCCTTATGCTGGACAGTAATTTGCTATTATTTGAAGTTTTCAATAAATCCAAAGTCCACATATAATGAGACTACTCGACTACAATATATGCAACCTGAACGAGCCAGATATCACATTGAACCAACGTGGAAAACTAAAGACTATATATCACAAGTCCTCAGATTTGACGATATATATGTCGACGACTGGAACCGTAGTAACCCTCCTCTGAATGGCTGGCTTTTTATACGGACGGATCCAATATATAATAAGGTACAGGGGCTTGTGAAAAGCTAGATCTTGATCTTACCTACAAGCAACTGTAGTGTTTTCGAAGCTGAAATATTCGCGATTTGGAAGCCAGCTGAATTGATAAAACCGGTGAACCGGTGAATATCTCTATGGATAGTCATCAAATCCTGTATCATCAAGTCTGAGGGCATGCTCAAGTAGAAACACTAACAGCTATCCGCTGAGTTGAGTACCAGGAAATTGTGACTTCGTGGGAAATGAGAAAAGCAGACGAATTAGCTAGACGAGGATCTCAATCTACAGATCTAGCAATCACTGACACAATCAAACCACCCATCAGTCACCTTTTCCGGAATATTAAGACGTTCTTTGACGGAAGAACCAATGAATTTTGGCACAACGAACCTAGGTGCAATGTGCAAGATCTATATGGCAGATTCTATCAGCCAAAGACTGTTTTACCTGAGCAAAACTTAAATTAGAGTAATGACGGGACTGACTGCTATATCAGGGCCATTAAATGAAACCATGAGAGAGAGACCTACTTTCTTTTTTACTTCTTTATTAGCTTCTGTCTTCTCTATCCCCTTTCTTCCCAATAGAACTCTCCAGATGAACTACTTCTTGGATGATCACAATGGACCAGAAGGTGCCAAGTTTTGCACTCACAATTAGTGACCGCACATCCACAAACCTAGCATAACCTAACCTTCGCGAAGCTTTGAAGACTTCATCAACAATAACTCTGACAATTTGGCCTTTGATAAATTTAAAATCCGTGTCCCCGGTGCGGTTGTGTATATCAAATTTCCATCTAATTATAAAAATTAAGTATACAAATTATTGTGATCAGATATATGTTCCAGAAGAACCCATATTAGCGGATGATAGTTGTATAATAACTGGTTACTCAATATTCGCTCCAGTAAAATAAAATCAATACAGATTTCATGCTGATGAAGGGTAGACTGATACGATGAAATGGAGTAGACAACAAATTGTAGCGTAATACACAATAAAAAATCGTAATAATTTTTCCAACATAGATCCTGTTGACCGAAATTGACCGAAAGGTCTCGGAGTAAAGTAACAAGAATTATGTAGCACAGCACAGTAGTGGCTGAACCGAAATAAATATAGGTGAGAGGGATCAACAGGAAACAATTCGTGACTTATAAAAGTTGAGATGGTTGGTGATAATTTGACACGGTGTAGTCATGAATCTCTCTAGATCTTGCATATATTTTATAAAGGCCGGTGGAAGTCTACGAACGTGTTTTCTAGGTTGTAGAACTTATTCAGTGGCTACCTCGACAAAATATTGTAATTGGTGTATGTAGCCTTGTATTGTAAAATCACCCTGCTGTAGTTCTCAAAATTGCATATAGGTCTTAATATTCTTCCAATGATTGTCATTTAAATTACACTCCGGAGACGTATATCTTACCACTGACCGATCCATTGCTTACTGTTTTTTAATGAAGGTACAACTGTTCACAGATAAATAAGTTGTTGATAACAACTATGAATTTGAATCTAGAAATTGCAAAACTTAAAAAAGATGACTTCATTAAAAGAAGAAGCCACATCTATAAATAATAGAAAGTTTCTATTCTAGATTTGAAATTCGCCATGGGTGTTATTCTTTCCATTAACCTGTCGAATCCAGTTTTCAGATAAAAGCATTTAATTACCACTTGACACCATAACAGACAACATTTTGAAAACATTTTTTTTTGTTTTACCAATCCTCTTTGTTCCTGTTTAGCATAACCACATAATTAAAAGATAAGCATTCAAATGTTTAGCCTCCTCAATAACATTATTAATCATCAACTTGTTTTCGTTTTCTGTTTTTTTTACACACCTTTTAAAAGAATTCAATTGAAAAATATAAATAAATTTTAAATAAACACACACACACATTAATTTGCAAATATTTACCTTTTGTGTTGCCGATGCGTCCGAATCCAATGAATTTGCATTATTTTCTTCACTTGTCATCGAGCTGCGCGCCGACGATCTGGTGTTTGTTGTTAACGGTGTCGACGACTGTGAACTTGTTAGGCGTGTAGGTGTCTGAGCTTTGCCACCTGACTCATCATTCTCCAATTTGGACATGGAGGCACCCCGACGATGACGATTTTGAAAACGTTCCATCATACTTTTGTATTTGGCTGCCTGAACGGCAGCATCACATTCCTTATCGTTGAAATTGTCAATTGTAAAAGCCAACGATTGTCTAGCTGACGTTGTCATAGTAGTACCGCCATTCGACGATGATATTGACTCATCATTATCGTCTTGATCGTTTTGTGAGACGCGTGTCGACGACTCGTCTTTACCAGCAGCCGCTGTTTGCTGTTGTCGTGTTGAATCCGTACTACACTTTTCCTCGTCTTCATCATTTTTGTTATCAACTTCAGTGCCACAATTTGTTGTTTTTGTGTCTTTATTGCGGCCACTGGCGCTTTTACCAGCAAACATTCCTGTAAACAAAACAAGACGAACAAATAAGTTAAAAAACATGTTACTTGTGTGGGGGTAATATAAAATAATAAATGTAGATTATGAACATACAGTGAGCGTAGCAAAAAAGCAATCGAAATTTGCTATAATGAAAGGTCGCTATAAGCAATATAAAATAAAGAGCAGAACTTTTTTCGGACTGAAAGTGGTTATTATAACCGATATATCATTGAAAATGGAGTCGGTTTAAAAATTTCGAGTATATATTTGTAAAACATACCGATCATGAAATATCAAATTGATTGATATCACCAAAAATTTGGCAATAACAAGTCACACGGAAATAATTTGATCACTAGTTATGCCATATAAGAATTTGCATTATATGTGGCGGTCATCATTCCTTATCCGTGTTTTTTTTTATTTTCAAATATAGTATAGGAGGAAAAAATAACAATTGTTGTGAGACTTTCTTTTGACGCTCACCGTACATGATATTATTATATTGCAAACTTATGAAAAAAATAAAAACTTTACAAAGTGAACCATAGCCGCCGCCAACAATAACAACAAAACAATAGAAATTATACCAAATAAATGCAGAGAAAAACAATAACAAAGAAAGAAAAATACAACATACAATTAAGATTTAACAATAATTTATAATTAAAGCCAGCTTAAAGTTAACGGTTATTAGGTGAAAATAAACAAAAACAAAAATCACACACACACACACATACATGTACACATAGGAAAGGCAAACGAATGGATGAATAGTAGATGAATTGGACGAACAAATGATTGTGTGTGGTCAGTTGGTGGCTACCGAAATATGTAGGCTACATTTGTAGTTGGCAGGTGTAACGTTGCCGGATCGTAGAAGCATGTGGAAATTTGACGGTGTAGTCGGTGAATTCGAAACTGTTGTACCCTTCATTGTAAAGTGAGGAAATAAGAACGAGGTTACAACATTACCGAGTTAATAATTTGAAAATCTCCAAAAAATGATTTTGGGCACATTATCCAATCGATTTTGAATTTTGGCTTCTGATAGATATCAGAGGACGAGTCTTAAGGCCTTATGATCATTTTGAAGAGGTATAAATTTATATAATGCAAAAAAATTGATTTACGAAGATAGGTCCATTGGGCGACTCATTCGGGAACCTTTCCCAAATAGGTCAACATTTAGAAAATTTTAAATTTCATATGAAGCCAAATGAGAGTCGATTGAGAAGTGAATCCGATCCCATTTTATTCAAACTTTGAACGTGGTAATATGATGAAGTTTGAGGTTATAAGCCCTTCATGCCAAAAGTGGCATCATGTTATTATCCCAAAATACTATTTTCTATTGAATTCCAACATATTTAAAATAATAATTTAAGTTCAAATAAAGTAGGAATCAGCGAAATTGATAAGCAGAACATTTTTCCTGGACTTTTAGATTTTGTCGTTATAACCGGTTTCGTTATCAGAAATTTCAACTGTACAGTATTTGCGATCAGAGTAATATTGTAAGAATGATTAGAATCTTACGTTATTTGTAATCAAGCCAACATCCGAGGGAATTTAACTAAAAATCGGAACTACACTAATCGATTTTAATCATTTAACCAGTTACTTGTCTTTAAAATATTTTAGAGAAGGGGACTTCGATTAGTACCTTCGACATACGGAAAGTGTTGTGGGCTTTTATATGGGGCCAAAATAGGTACCTATATTCAATAGCTACCCATGGAAGATATAAGTACCCATGGAAGATATGTCGAAACATTGATCTATATTGATGGATACACTCGACTTTATGGGGTACCATTTCTCCTTCCGTTTACAACACCTCGAAATATTCACCGGAGGCCCATAAAGTATATATTCTTGATCAAATTGGCTTTCTTTATACCCTCCACCATAAGATGGAGTGTATATAAAATTTGTCATTCCGTTTGCAAGACCTCGAAATATTCACAGGAGACCCCACAAAGTATATATTTTTGATCAGAATAACTTTCTATGTCCGTCTGTCTTCCCGTCAGTTGAAATCACGACAGAGATCGCAATATTTAAGATAGAGGTCTGAAATTTTACACAGGTATTGCTAGTATTCCTAGGATGTTTGGTATTGCAAACGGGATATATCGGTCCACGTTTTGGCGTAGCCCCCATATAACGGTGCCCTCCAATATTTTGAGGATTTTGGACACATACCTTAACCAACTTAGCTGTAATTTTGTATTTTGGGTTCTCATTGTATAGCACATCTCCGTACTAAAAATGTTTAATATTGATCTACGTTAAAGGGTAGCCCCGATAATATGGTCCCCCTGAATATGGGTTTTTTTACATGTTTTTCAATCCAATTGGCTGTAATTTGGTATTTTGGGTTCGCATAACGGTAACACATCTCCGCTCTAAAAATATTAATACTGACCCAAGCCGGTATTTTGAGAATGTTTTTCAAATTTAGCTGTCAAATCCCACTACCAAAAAAAAAACTATATTGATCTCCGTTTTATAATATCCCCCACTATCAGAATTTAAGAATTTCAATCATCTTATTCTTATGTATTTTTCGATATGTACAAGGTCCTATCATAACACAAGTTTTCTCCAGGGAGGGTATACACAGTTCGGTCGGCCGAACTCATCAACGTCGTTTTTACTTGTTTAGCCTAATTTTTCCGGATTACTGTGATTAAAAAGCTTCTTTTTGGAAATTATTTTAGATAGGGTAATGCTTTAAAATAGCCCCCATACAAATGTCCCGTTTAATTTTCGGTATGTTGAAATTCCAAACCTGAGTGTATGAAATTTGGAACATTATTTTTTGAAACGTGAACAACCTACTAACACAATGCAAAAATATACTATTAAAGGAATTTTGAATGGACACCGCGTGGCGGAAGGTATAAAAATTGGGCCGGATCGGGAACATAACAAATTGTTTCTTGTTAATTTTTACCAAACCAAAATAGAAACAATGGTAAAAATGTATGAGAAATATGTGTAATTCTATATTTAAATATGACATAAGGTGTTTATTTTTGATGAAAAAATTACCAACGGATGTTAATTGTTCGGTATAGTGTTATAATGGTTATATTCTATTCGATATATTCTGGGTCCTTTTTTCGATGGAATGTACACTTTTCGATCGGAATTTTTTACTCTCTTTACAGGACTCACCTCACACATATTTAAGCGTTTATAAGAGAAACTTTTGACTATCTATGAAGACCATAATTTTTACGACAATTATACTAAGTTCCATAGGATCCATCATCACATTTGAATTTAATAAAATTGAATTATCCAACCAGTACAATAAAATTTTAGGTAAGTAAATCCAACGAAAAAAGGGTCGGGTGTCATACATCAGACACTTGGTTTAATCATGAACGCAATCCAAAAATTCGCAAACATTTCAATATTGCAAATAGAAACTGTTAACAGAACTTGCAAAATATCCCTACCAAAGTTGTCACATAACACTTTTTTATTTATTTCTAATATTTTGCGCCACAATGTACAAATGCATTGATTTTTTTCTGGTATTACGTAAATTTGGGTTTACACTAAATCTTTGTATACCTTTCAATTTGCCAAACATTATTATTTCACAAATAACAAATAAACTTCAAACGAATGCAACGTATAAAATAATAATAAAAAAATAATTCAACACCGAAACAAGTGATATGGTCAACAAGAAACGACGACAACAACTGAAAAATGGCATCACATTTCTATTCTCAAACCAGATAACTGAATCATAATACCATTTTTTTATATATATTTTTCAAACTTGTTGTTAGTCACCGCAATAAGATAAATGAAGCTATGGGTGATTTTCATATATGGATAGTTGGCTGGCTGGCAAGCTGGCTCTATTCACTGACAATGTGTGCCCGTCAGAGTTTCATACTCTCATTTATTTTATTTTATTTTTATTCAGTATTGTGTGTTATAACGCAACGTACGTATATGGAGAATGGCTTATACACTGCCGTCTACTATTACGAAGTTTACGGTTGCACTAAGAAAAAGTCATTTTGGAAAAGAGAGAAAGACAAAACAATTAAAAAGATATTATAATCTTTTAGAAATCATTGGCAAATCGATATTTCAATATATCGTGCGCTTTGGATGACCAAAAATTTCTATGGAAATTTTAATGGTCATGAAATGGATTAGACATACCCCAATTATATATTGTTACACAATTTCTTGGATTGTGATAAACATATATATTTTATTTCAATGCTATGAATAACTAATCTATAATAAGTATAGCTGAACTTTTCTAGAGTCCCAATAACGGTTGTGTATCTAATAATTAATATTTTGTTTATAAAGCAGAAGTACAGAAAATAATGTCTTAAAACGGCATATACATTAGAATTTTTTCCGGGTTAACCTACTTTATGAGGATTTATTTGACATATATGCAAAGGAATTGACAATTGAAACCCACAGGGTTAACCGAATCCGGTTAAATGTAAACGTACTATTATAGCAGATTTCCTCTATAATGTAGTAAATATTTCTGACCTAGGCAACATTAAGCGTAGCCTGGCATTCCGTTGGAATGTTTGAAATTGTTTAGCATAAACGTACAAAGTACGGTTTGAGTACGGTCAGGTGTTGTGTTGTTTACAATGATTAAATTATCAATATGTAAAAAAATTGATTTTTTCCAAATTTCGACCTAGATTATCACGACAAGAGTATCTCGAAGATCTTTTTGAATAGTTCGAATAAGATATTATTAATAGTATTTAGAAACTGTTGTCAATGCCCGGATATCTGCATTTTATGAATGCAACTCATAAAACTTTAAATATTTTTTTGTCAGATAGAGAGAGAGTTTACTATGGCACAGAAACTCTTTCTTGTTTTAATTTTTTATTTTGGTTTTAGTTTATTTTCTTCGTTAAGTCTTTCTCTTACTTGTTTCAAATAGATATTGTATTTGGCATTTATATCGAAATAATTTGGAAAATGCATATGCGAATTTTGTGAAATCAATGCCGAGGTCAGTGTTACAGT